ATTAAGAAAACTAAGATCATGGGATCCGGTCCTCTCACTTCCTGGCAGATAGATGGGGAAGAAATGGAGGTAGTGACAGATTTTATTTTCCAGGGCTCCAAGATCACCACAGATGGGGACTGCAGCCAAGAAATTAAAAGATGCTTGCTCCTGGGGAGGAAAGCTATGGCAAATCTAGACAGCATACTAAAAAGCAGAGACATCACCCTGCCAACAAAAGTGCGTATAGCCAAGGCTATGGTTTTCCCAGTTCCAATGTATGGCTGTGAAAACGACCATAAGGAAGGCTGAGCGCGAAAGGATTGAGGACTTTGAATTGTGGTGCTGGAGGAGACTCCTGCAAGTCCCTTGGACCGCAAGGCGATCAAACCAGTCAGTCCTAGAGGAGATCAACCCGGACTGCTCTTTAGAAGGCCAGATACTGAAGATGAAACTCAAATACTTTGGCAACCTAATGAGAAGGAAGGACTCCCTGGAGAAGAGCCTAATGCTGGGAACAATAGATGGAAAAAGAAGAAGGGGAAGGCAGAGGATGAGGTGGCTAGATGGAGTCACTGAAGCAGTTGGTGTGAGCTTAAGTGGACTCCGGGGGATGGTGGAGGACAGGAAGGCCTGGAGGAATGTTGTCCATGGGGTCACGATGGGTCAGACACAACTTCAGGACTAACAACAACAACAACAACAACAAATTGTTCTGAACTGCCCAGAAAATTTTGGCTACTGGGAAAATGTAAAGAAAAAAAGAAAGAAGACAGTGACATCCGTTTGAATGGTGAACAGGGGGAGGGCAGTTTAAGGAGAAGTAACATTTTGGACATGACGACACTGCAAGAACTAAAACCTGAAAAATGGAGTGAGTGATCAGAAACTCAGTTTGGCAGTGGTAGGTTTGTGCACCTTGCCTGGTATGGTTCCTGCCCCTCTTTCTAGCCTGCACATGGACATCCTCCCCCTCTCATCCCCAGGACACACTGCAGCTGCCATGGGTCAAGGCTCATGTTAGGTGCCCTTGCTTCTTTGTCCCACTGCACACTGCTTCCCCTCATGCCAAGCCATAGCTCTGACCTTCTGGCAAGCTGGAAATGAGACATATTGAAACGAGAAGTGGTGGTAAGAGCCAGGTCTGGAACAACGTGTGTGTGGCAGTGGCTGGCTTACAAGAGGAGAGAGGAAAGTTAGAGAGGCCATAGAGCCTTTTATTCTTTGGGGCACTAGATAGTTTGTCATCGTCTTGTTCACTTTTCTACCGAACTCACGATGCAGTTGTGAAACGGTGGCTTCTTCAAGATCACCTTGTGCACCTCATGGCGGAGCGAGAATTTGTCTCCTGAACCCCCTACTCCGAAAAAAACCCAAATGCACCCTATCACAACTGGCGGGCTCGTTTTAACCGAATGCTCTGTCCCCCGGCAGTGCAACCAGGAGCTGCTCTTTCAGTCCTGTTCAGATGTGAAACAAACTCATCGCTTCCGGATTGCATCTCGCGAAGAGAACCGTACTTGCAAACTTTCGCTCTTTTGCAAGAGAATGGAAGAACGTCTCCGATGCGGAGGGTCTTTCGAAGGGCCACGTTTCTGGCGGGCGGCTTCTGCCTTAACGGGGCAGCTCAGCGGCAAGAGCTGGCAAAGGCGTCTCCTGGGACTTGACAAAAGAAGCCGCGCCCCAGCCTGCTCCTGGAAAGGCTGTGCCCGCCTCCTTTTTCCCAAATGTCTTTTACAGGTTTGGCCAGTTGAACCCCTGCGGGAGAAGCCGCGCTAGGCGCCTCATTGGGCGGCTGATCAGCTGACGGTGGAAGGAAGGAGGGACGCAAGGAAGAGAGAAGGAAGGAAGGCCGGCGAGGGGGCGAGCGAGAGGGGAACTCAGTTAGCATGGCGGGGGAAGAGGAGAACTATTACGGCAAGCATGGTAAGGCAGCGGAGTGGCGGCGCCGCCCAGCGACAGGAAGGGCAGCCTGGCCAGCGACGAGGTGCGGGCAGAGCGCGCTGGGCACGCCCGCAGAAGAGGCGGCCGCTCTCCGCGGCGGAGCGTGGCACGGCTGGGCATGGCTTTCGCGCCGCGGCCTTCTGGCGAAAGGCATCCGCCGTGCTAGCGCCTTACCGAGACGCCGGAAACGCGAGCTGCGCCAGGCCCTGGGTGCGCCCCCGCGGCCGCGGTGCTCTCTTTTGTCCCGCCGCCCCAGATTTGTCACTAAATTCTGTAGGAAAGACGGCTCTGAAAAGTCCATTTGCTTTATTTCGCACCAATTTAATGGCTGAGAAAGGAGGGACGGGTAGTCAATCCAGCCAACATCTTCAAGCAATACCTAAAGTAAGATAAACATCTGTGGTGGGGGGGCAGTCTTTGCAAGATCCTCCGTCGTTTCCCTGCAATGGGCGGCCCACGTGCGTCCTGCCGCTGCCTCCACCCACTGTTTTATTATTGTGTTATTAGAAAGGGAGGGGAAACGACTTTTTCATAATGACGCTGTTAAATGGTATTTACGGCCCTTCCCACCAGTCTTTTAATCATTTGTAACCTGAAACCAGATTACAAGGGTGCTAACGTACTGGGACCCCAAGAGCTGGGAAAAATGTATCTTTCTGAATAATATGGATGGCCCTGTTAGGTCAAGGGAGTGGAAGAGAATAAAATAAAAGGATTTGCTTCTTGAAACATTCTGTAAGGAAAGCAGGCAAAGTTGCAACTGTCAGAAGGAACCTTCCAAGGCAAAAGGGTGGTATTTCCCTCCATGCCCAGCAAAAGGGGGGGGGGGTTGGAGAAAGGACTCACTCTTGGGGAGAGAAGCCAAGGATCTCCCCCCATGGCCCTTCAGGGTGGGGATGCACTGCCCATGGCTCTCCTCTGCCTTGGCTGTGCTGGTTAGGACTGATGGAAATTCCCATTAAGGTGGACCACGTGTTCTGCATCTTTCCATAAAGCTAACTCGGCTACCAGCTGCGGCTTCCTTAATGTAGTGAAGACATGACATCTACATCACGCCTCTTTATGCAGTCCCAAACCCCTCCTACATTGGGAAGAGGGCAAATACTGTAAAAACAGACGGGAGAGAAACTGTGACTTAAGTGGTAATATGTTTGTTTGGACATGGGCCTCCCGGAAACAAAGTATTCTAAGGGTGGTAAGAATGTGTTCTTGATGCATTGTCTGGGAACTGTCTGAGGAGAAACGAAGCAAGGAGAGGCAAAGGGTTCCCAGTGTTTAACATGAATAAGGGATTCACCAGCTATCTATTAATTGGGTATATTAATCCATACAGTTTTAAACCTGATGGATGGAATTAGTGGGTATTAACTAGGCCTTAAATCCCCACCCACTGCCAGAGGGTGATGCCCCTGTGGTTACACCTAGAATTATCTATAGGTGACCCTGCTGTTAGCAAATGCTTTTGTTTACAGTTGCCCAACAAAAAAGCTGCATCAGACCTGCTTAGGTAAATTAAATTAGTCCTTCAAAAGGTTACTTATATTTAATGATGAATACTCTTCCAGAAGAATCCCAAAAATGTGATTTTTTTTGAAAAACATTTTTTCTATTGAAAAAACCATTTTTTTCAATAGAAAAAATTGCTATGAAAAACAATTGCTATGCTGTATTTTATTTTGCATGTTAAAGTAATTTCTGAGTTATGAATCTCAAATTATGAACTTCAGCTTACTTGGGATTTCCACCTTTAAAGCAGATTTAGGGAGAGGAAGGATGCTGTTTCAGGGGGAGTAAAATTAGGCTGGCAAGAATCCATGTATTTGTAGCCAAGACAGCAGCCATGCCCTTTCCAAAAGTTGTGCTGGTGACTGGGAGGCTTGTTCATTCCTGAACCTATTGCTAGTGTGGTGGTATTGGGCCAAAATAAAAAGTTGACTGGGACTTTCCCTTTATCACTAGTTTGTGTGTTCCTCCTGGAAGTGCTGGTGGCTTTACTTTCAGGGCTCTAATGTTTCATCCCCGCTGATCATTTCTGAGTTTTCCTGTGATTCCTGGGCATTTCATCAGGAAGTCAACACCAGGATAGAGAAAACTATTTTGCTTCAGTGGGTGTTACCCATCTAAACAATGGTGATTGAAGCCTGCTGAGGAAAGATTGCTTGCTGGGCTAGGGAAGCTCAGTGGGAAGGCACTGGTTTAAATTTCTAAAATGAAAAAAGTTCCCGTCTGCTTAAGGCATTATACCTTAGGACAGGGGTGAGGAACATGAGGTTTTCCTGTGGTTGTTGGGACTCACCCCTCACCAGTGGCTAGGCAGGCTAGAGATGATGGGAGTTGCTGTCCAACAATATCTGTAGGGCTCCATGTCCCCATCTCTGCCACAGAAGGACACTTGTGCTTAATCTCATATGTGTCAGGGCTTGTGTTTGCTTATCAGTAAGGAAATAGTACTCTGTGCATGTTCAGAAGTTTACTATGCTTCATTTATTACTTCTCCCCCAAGCCCATGGGGTGAGGTAAGACATGCATTTGAATAATGAGAATATTAATTATTCATATATGTGGCCTTGAATAAGCTGCTCAGGAGTAAAAACTGGCATTGAAAACAGCTTCCTAGGAAAGCACAGGCTCAGGTGTAGCTTTAGAGAAGACACCTTGGGGTCTCATCCATTGTTTCCATCATACTTCAGTGTGATAGATTTATGTGTTTTCTCTGAAAAATTCCATCTTGCCCTGGAACAATCAGCTGGGAATGTGTTCTACAACTACGCCTCTGATTCTTTTTCTTGCTCTCTGAAACACTGGCTAGTAAGCAAAGGGAATCTTTCTCAGAGGGTGGGGGACCATGAAGGGCTATTCCTCCCATTTGCTCCAGGGCAGACCATGGAACAAATTTTGTGGGAGATAGCCCCCAAACTCCCTTTCTGCGGAGTGACGGGGCATCTCTGAAACAATCACCTCGCCTGTAGTCGTTGCTGCTTCTTTCCCTCTCTCCACTGGTAGCAACTAATCGGGGCAGTGGAGGGTGCCAGTCAGTTATTTTGAGCCTTTACCAAAGACAAAAATGGTTAAAGAAGAAACCCCATTCCCTACAGCCCCTCCCACTGGCTTCCTTCCCACGTGGAAGGTTTTGAGACAATCATCCCCTCATCTTCCTCCTCCTACTCCTCCTGTTGCATCCCAGAACCTTGAGCCAACCCGAGCTCGCCAGTCTTGCTGAGACATTCCTCTTCCTCCTCTGAATCTGAATAAGCATATTTGATGTGGGTGGTGCCCTGTGGGAATGCTTGCCCAGGCCCTCCATCTCCCTTGCTCTGGACACTTGAACAAAGGGAGGACTATGGCAAAGACGCTGTTGCTGCTGCTTATGCTGTATTTATATCCCACCTCTTCCCCTCTTGTGAGTAACTCTGGCGTCTTTCTTAGAATAATGCAGGTGATTTGACTGGAGATCAGACTTGACTTGCTCAGATCCCCACCTTTTAAAATGCAGCTTCTTCAGCTGAATTCCTGCCCATGCTGCAGTTCAGAAAAGAATGGGCAGCCCTTTGTTCAGCCCATCCAGAGGGTGTTCATCTATGCAAAACCTCGATGTTGCTGGTTTCCTGCTACTCTAAACTATTAATGTAATCCCTCACATTCCCTATATATATCCTGAAAGAAAAGGAACAGATAGCACAATCCACCAACATCCTTCCCATGGTTTCATCCAGATCCTTTTCATTTTAGTGGCGCTTTAGCCTGAGAACTTACTGGTGAATAGCTGTAAATGATTTCTGTATTCCTGCCTTGTATAGCTGCCTAACCCAGTATGTTGTTTTATTTCACATTCTTTTCTAGGGACACCCCAAAAGTATGATCCAACTTTCAAAGGCCCCATCTATGACAGGTAAGGCAACATGTTAATGAAAGCGTTGAAGACACTCTTGCCTAAATATAGCATTGTTTTGGGCAGGGCATGCAGAGGAGGGACAGCCTGATGTCAAGGAAGATTGACTCTTGTTCCTGATCTCTCTCCTCACCATGCTTCTGAAAAGCAATGATGTTGAGAAGGTTGCAGTACTGAAAATGCAATTTCTGCTGCCAGGAGACCCAGATAATTTTCTCGGTGTCAGAATATTTGCTGGCCTTCTTTGCTTCTCATTTCCATGGAACCTGTGCCTAGTAGCAGCCTGGTTTCTTTCTCTTCTCCCTCCTATACAGCGGCCAAGAAGTTTCCTGGCTTATTGTATATTTTGTTTTCTTGTAACTTTTTGATTATACAGCAAGAATAATTACCAATAATTTGCAATAATTACCAATAATGTGGAGTAAACATTTTTCTGTTGCTTCATTTTTCTATGGAGAATGTTCCATTGCTGAAGTTAATTAGTAAAGAATGGGTGCTAATAGCAAATACAGTGTTAGAGCAGCTTGGCAATCTTAAAGCTGTAATTGTTTTACAGGTAATTAACTCTAGCAAGTATCTGAGGCAATCATATATGTCAGTGAAACATCTGTAAGTTTGAAATGCTACAGATAAGTAATGACAGCAAAACTAACAGTACCCCAGGACCTGAGTGGATGGGAGCTGAGAGATGAGTGGTTCTCAACAGCCTGCAGGTGTTTTTATGAATGTGTGAATACTGTTCACACCATTGTTTTTTTCTTAAATTTAATCAATGTATGTGCTGTAATTTTTAACATTTTAAAAGAATTCAAATAAAATATCTATATAACATAACGTTTAAATTACACTAAGCTTGTCCCACTTTTCCTGTTCAATCATTTCAAGTTTTTCAAAATACTTGAATGCATATATTGCCAGTATGCAATGCTGGAGTAATTGATTGTGTTGTTTAGTGTGATGCCTCCTGTTCCGTATGATGAAACTAAGAAATCATAAGATGTTCTTAAGAAATGTATCTACCCCTACACTAAACCCAGTAAGGCACTTTGCTCTCACTTATGGATTGCTTTATTTTGTTCTCTGTTGGCCCCTTTCGATTTAAGGGCTAGGTGGGTTTAATTGGGTTTTTACACAGACAGACACACACACCATCACCCTCACCAGATCTCTGGTTTTAAATCTACAGTGGAGAAGTAGCACTTACAAACTTATATGAATTGGAAGTTCATATGCTTTATAAGTTTCTTTTAAACTTACAAATCCACTTTGGGAGAGGGAGTTGTTATAGCAAAGCCATCAGCCAATCTCCAAAAGCATACTAACACTCTAGTGAACCTTTAGATGATTTTGCTTTCTTCCTCAGGGGTTGTACAGATATCATCTGCTGCATCTTGCTCCTGCTTTTCATTGTGGGCTATGTCATCATAGGGATTGTGGGTATGTATCCTACTGTTTTCTTTATTTCTATGACTTTAGGTAATGGTAATGTTGCTTAAGATGGACCATTTCAGAGTAGGGCAGAAAAGTGGAACCTTGTGTAGCTTTGGGGTTTTAAGTAAACGAAGAAGAACCAAAAGTAGATGAGCACTTTAAAAGATCTCTACCTTTTAGTCCAGTGGCTTATGTGTAATCTGGATATAGGTTGAACCGTTATTGCAGGAGGTTTGGCCAAAAGGATGGGAGAAATTGTTATTTAGCTCTACTCCTAGATGTTGGAGCCTCTTAAATATACTTCACTGGATATTTTTGGAGTGTGTTGTGTTTGTGCTATATCTTCCCAGCCATGAAAGACCAAACTATATTTTTACTTATAAAGAACTACAGTAAAACCTTGGATTGCAAGCATAATTCATTCCGGAAACATGCTTGTAATCCAAAGCACTTGTATATCAAAGCGAATTTCCCCATAAGGTTCAATGTAAATAAGGTTAATCCGTTCTGTAACTTTTTTTTTTTTTAATCAGCGGGGGTGGGGGAGACGATGCTGTACTCGCATCCGCAGTGAAAGAGAGAAGAACCGGTGCTCAGTTGTGAGGTGATGCTCGGCAGGCAAAGCGCGCATAATACTCCTACGGCAAGACATAGCTCGTTTATCAAGTTAAAATTGAGAAAAACATTTTGCTCGTCTTGCAAAACACTCACAGACCAAGTTACTCACAATCCAAGGTTTTACTGTACTGCAATTCACAGGAATACATTCACAGGACTCCCATGAAACAGCTTTAATTATGTCTTCTTGTTGCTTCATCCACCACCATGTCTTTCTAGAGAACTTTGCTAGTATATAGTACAAAGCTGTTGTGTTAGTACCTTGGTCAGCTGCGTGTTGCTGTTTTCCAGCAAGGTTGGAGCTATGTGGAGCAAACTGTGCAGTTCCCTGAGTTTTGTAAGGGAATGCAAGGACTTAGGTTCACATGCAAGCTAAATCGCTGAGTAGAGTTGGGCAAGTTAACTTGCAGCTTTTGCTGAGCATAAAATAACTTACGTCTTCACCCAGTAGAAAAGGGAAATGTAAATATGGATAGGAGATGCTGAATTGCTTAGACAACTATGTGATGTTGCAAGACATGAAGGAAAGTATCTAGTTTAACTTTCAATCTCTGTCTCCAATTCAGCATGGACACAAGGAGACCCCCGGAAGGTGATCTATCCAACAGACAGTCGTGGGCAATTCTGTGGCCAGAAGGGAACACCCAATGAGTGCGTATCTTGAAAAGAGAATCCTCTAGTTACTTGCATGAGTCCCTGTACAGTCAATTAGACTCCTTGTATTACGATAATACTCTTTACATCAAAGACATAACAGTATCAAGCAGACTAGAAAACCTAAAGGGGGTAAACTGTTCTATAGAAGTGCTATGGGTGAAAATGCCAGGCTTTAAAACTAATTGATTCTGGTAGCTTGCTGTCATCCCAGGATCAGAATGCTCAGCATCCAAAGCAAAACTTAGTGAGGCCTCCATATTAGAAAGTGTTGTAATAATGGGTGACTTCAGTTGCCCCCACGATAAATAAAGGTTCCAGTCATGAGAAATAGTTAAACTTCTGCGTGCTCTAAGTGTATCCTAGAACAGCTGGTCTAGTGCAGATAAGACAAATCAGGGGTGGAGGGGAGTAGACTCACTGTGGGATGAACTATGCCAGACCAGGAGAAGCAATCAGTAGCGAGGAAGCAACCCTGGATTTAATGTAAGTACTGGCCAGCATTTAGTGTAAGATGTGTCGTCAAACCAGCAGGGAACAGTGACCCCAGTGCTATCGGATTCAAGGCCTATTTAAATAGAAAATTGCCAAAGAATTTCAGCATAGTTACATTTGAGTTCAAAAAAGGAAACTTGTCTAAAATGAAGGAAGTTTTTTGGATCCTGGCAGCAGTGGCAGAAGAGTGGAGTGGGAAGGAGCTGAAATAGCCAGGGGAGTGCAGGAGAACAGCAGTGGTCCCAGGGAATTAAAGGTAAAAGCTGGAAGGCACGCTGCACTGATATGGGCCCAATGCACCTACAAGTGAAAGCAAAAGGGGTCAGGGCTAGGCACCAGCTGCTCACAAGGCCTACTTTAGGTCCAGCACAGCTGTTGGTGGTCCCAACAGAACGGCACTGGTGGGCAGTGCACTAAGAATCATCCCTTGTTTGCATCCTGTAGTTGCCACCTGGGTTGCCTGGGGACTCTCTTCCCCAGGGACTTCGTCTTCCCTGAAGGAACAGGGTATCAAGCCTCAAGGAAGGGTAGTGTAGGTAAAACAAATTGGGTGGAGGGGAGCAGATATTAGACTCACTGTGGGGTGAACTATGCCAGACCGGGAGAAGGCCATGGCAGAGTGGCAGGTGTTGCGGTTACCTGTGGCACCTGTGCCATGTCTGTGTACCTTCCCCAGGAGGAGCCAGGATACACAAGTGCAAGTTGGGGAAGGTGATGGTCTAGAGCAGTGGTTTTCAACCTTTTAAAAGTTGGGGACTAGTGAAAATAGAAAAAATATTTCAGGGACCACTGAGGCAGAAAGCATTATATACATAATAAAGTATTTTGTATATTAGTTTTTAAATATAATTCCAGGAAATGAAAATTCTCTAAAATAACCAGAAACTGAGCAGTAAAAAGTCTAATAAAAGAATAAAATATTGAAATTAAATGTAATTGAATACAACTGAAATTTTTATAAAGCAATATTTAATTCAAATAGGGCTAGTAGAAAATCTGCTGTTGCTTCTTTTCAATAATATTTGATAATTGTGGCTGCAGCGTTGTTTCCATGAGATGAAGTGCTTCGTTGACATCCATTCTGTTTCTCTGTTTGGTTTTTATCAGTGACAGGGCTGAAAAATGCTTTTCACACAAATATATAGTAGAAAATATATAGAAGCACAGAAACAGAAACAAGAGTGAGTCAGAAGGGGCCTCCTGGGCCATGTAGTCTGACCCCCAGCTCCAGCCGGCTCTGCTCATGACATGCCTACTATGTGCATGTCCAGCCTATTCTTAATATGATTAACAATTTAATAGTTCTGTAACTTAGAAGCGGATATTATTTTTCCAGTGATATCCCAAATTGTGGTAATTACTGCATTTTATGTTTAGACACCAGGGTGACATCAGAAGATAACTCAATCAATTTTTCTTTTTCATGATGATTAAGTGTACATGAGTTAATTCCTTCCATAAAAGGGTTGTTAATCCAGAAATTGCCTTTACGGGGACCCTCATTTTTAGGGTAATAATAGTTAAAGTTTTGAACTAACACCTTTAAATGTTGACTTACTATATTAAATATGAATTTCCAGTTTACATCAGCCACAGTCAAAAATTCTTGCATATGTGGAAACACTTCTATGTCTTCTTGTGATTATCCCAAAGAACCAGTTTCTTTTTGAATGCATCCATTTTATTTCTCAGTATGAAAATATTTGTGCAAAACCCCTGAAGAAAAATACTTAGTTCATTGAAAAGGCTAAATATATCCACCATATACACAAGCTTAGCCATCCATTCCTCATCCAACAAAGGCTCTACTAATGCAGAGTTCCACTCCTGCAGAATTTGTTTTACTTCTTCTCTCAGTTCAAAAAGATGTGAAAGAACCCTTCTTCTCAATAGCCACCTTACTTCGGTATAGAGAAGGAGAAGTCAGTACCGCGAGTCCATACTTTCACACGGTGTCATAAACAGCCTGGAGTACAAAGCTGTACTACGTGTTTCATTTATGATCTTCAGTTTATCATTCATCGCAGTGTTTAGCTCAACAGAATGTTTCTTTTCAACTAAGTGCTGCCAGGTTATCACACAGTGAGTGGACATTTCTGGATGTGCAACCTCCTTTATATTTGCAACCGCCCCTGAGCAATGTCCACTTGTGCTTGTAGCATGCCCATACTCACTCCGATGCGCTTTCCCCAGTCCAAGCACTCCGATGCGCTTTACCCATCATCAGGACAGTGGTACCTTGGCTCACGAATGCCTTGGTTCATGACCAAATCAGGTCGTGAACAAAAATTTCATAAAAATTTTGACGTGGGTCGCGAACTCCGCATTGGGTGGCGAGCAAGATTGCAGCCATCTTCCACCCCCCCCCCCCCAGTGGGGAGATGGCCTTGATCGCAGTTGTGTTCATGCAGGGAAGACGTGCGTGATCATGGGCGCGCTCCTGCAGGAAAGACGGTTGCAATCTCGGCCATCCCCCCCACAGCCAGCATGATAGCGGTCATCTCCCCACCCCACCTCCGAGTGGGGAGATGACTGCGATTGTGCTGGGGGCAGGGGGGGGGACTGAGATCATGTCCATCTCTCCCTCCCCCCTGCGCACCGGGATGACCGGCGTGTGCAGGGATGATAAGCACGATCTCAGTTGTGCTGGGGGGTGGCGGGGAGATGGCCGCGCTTGTGCTTGGCAGGGGGGGAGATGGCTGAGATCTTTGTTGTTCTGTCACTTTGCCTCACATTTTTCTGATTAAAAAAAAAAGGTTACAGAACGGATTAACCTCATTTACATTGAACCTTATGGGGAAATTTAGCTTGGCTCATGGCCAATTTGGGTCACGACCAGAGTCCTGGAACAGATTAAGTTTGTGAGCCAAGGTACCACTGTACTTTTCTTTTGACTATTGTTTTCACTTTTGAAGATGGTTAAAATGTTTTGTTGTTTTTTTCTTTCTGTTTTATAGGGTTTAAAATTAGAGCACAATGACACAAGACATAACTTGCTTTAAGAAATACCACAACAAAGTATTTGTGAACAACATGTGCATGTTGTCCACAAGCGGATAGTATGTATCCCTACCAAGTATAACTTGGAGGTACCGTGTGAGTGACATGCACATATTTGATGGTGTGCATCATACCTAAGCCAATGGGAGGTTAATACCTACTCACCTAAAATCCCTACACAGTGCTACCTGTACTTATTGTCCTGGACAGTGCTGTGCTGAATAAAATCATATTGTAAGATGTGTCCAAAAATGTTATCTTAACTTGAACTTTAAAGCCTGAATTTACACGATTATATAAATCTCTGGTATTTAAATATTCCATATGATTATGTTATTTTGGACTTTAAAGTTTTAAACTTTTTGAATACATTCAGGGTGATTAGCTCTTTTACAGACGGGCAGGAAATTTCCAGCAGACTGGTACCAGTCTGTGGACCGATGGCTGAAAAGCACTGATGTATACCACAGGTTAGAAAAGATATTACTAAGTGCAAGAGGCTGCCAGCATGGTTAACAAGCAGTGCCAGAAAACCTAATGGAGGAAGAAGACTTTCTTCAGAAAATGGAAGTTTTGCCTAGATTAGAAGAGGAGGAGGAGGAGGAGGAGGAGAGGGAGCACAGAGTTACATAAAAGAGATGCAAACAAGCAATAAGAGATGCAGAAAAGCATTTTGAGGAGTATATCAACTAATTATATCAAGGCAAACAAATATTTTTAGATACATAATAATCAAGAAACCAATTAGGGAAGCAGTGAGACTGTTAGAGTTAAAGAAGCATTAAGGGAGAATTGCAGAGATGCTGAATGAATTATTCTCATCTGCCATCATTGCAGAAGATACAGGAAAGACACCTTTGCTTGAGTGATGTTTTGGGAAAGAAAGGTTAAGAAACTGAGGCACACAGCAGAGACAAAAAGATGAAGATCCCAAACTTACTGACCTACTGAAAGTAAGTCACCCAGCCCAATAGGCATGTGGACAAGGGTGATCCAGTAGACATTGTTTAGATTAATAAAGTCTCTTACCAGAGACTCCTGAACAAACATAACTGTCATGGAAGAGGCCCTCTTATGGTTTAGTAACTGATTAAGGAATAGAAAGCTGAAAGTAGCAAAAAGAAATTCCAATCTTTTTGTATATGTTTATGGTATAACAAGCCAGAGGCAACTGACTGATCTTATGGTTTTGGTAGACCACTTGATGAAAAGGAATTACAACTTCACATTGCACATAGTAAAACTATCAAATCATAACATAAATAAATAATAAAATAAAACTATCAAAGGCCACCAAAGGGATGCCTTTAAAAATGGATTGGACATATTACTAGAATTGCAAAGAATATAGTTCTTTGTGGTGTGGGCTCTGAGCCTGCATGGGAAGATTTCCACTCGTTCTGGTGGGACCCCTTCCCCTCCCACCCTATATATCTGAGAGGGGTTCCCACCCATTTCCTCAGTTATCTTCCAACTAGCATTGTGGGTGCCGCAGGACTTTC